AAACCGAACTGAGTTTTGCATGTGGGTGTTAGATAAAGTGGCAGAAAATGAAAAGTTTTTCGAAAATGTGTTATTTAGTGATGAATGTACTTTTCGTAACAATGGTCTCGTGAATAGACACAACTTTCATTATTATTTTGATACGAATCCGCGCGCATACAGGGTCACGAAAAATCAAAATAGGTGGTCAGTTAATGTGTGGGGTGGAATACTGGGCCAATATTTAATTGGACCCAATTTTTTTGAAGGACGTCTAAATAGTTTGATCTTTCTCCAGTGTCTAATAAACCATATCTCAATATTCTTAGAAGAATTCCCTTTCAATATTAGAACCAACATGTGGCTTCAATTGGATGGAGCTCCGCCTCATTATCACTGCGAAGTTCGGCAATTTTTAAATGCCAACTTTCGAAACAGGTGGATTGGCAGAAATGGGTTTCAAAATTGGCCCCCCAGACCTCCGGACTTAACTCCACTAGATTTCTTTTTGTGGGGTACATAAAAGGAATTGTCTACCATACGCCGACAACCGCCGTCCACCGACAACTTCACACGATATGAAAACATGCATAAGAGAAGCTTTTAAAACTGTAACTCCGTAAATGTTGTCCAGAGCTAGCAGTGGTTTTGAAAAAAGAATTTGCAAGTGCCTGGAAATGGACGGTCAACATTTCGAACATTTGTTATAATTAATTTGCCTCGGTTTTATGGTATTGTTGATATGTTATTTAACCTATTAATTTAAAAAACCACCAATTGGTGCATAGATCCATTATTTGGCGTATTTTGTAAAAAGGCACTTAGTTATCAACATCCTAGTACCATTCGATAGGTAATTAAAAATTGCATTTCCTGGTAAGCTAAAAATATGGGTTGCATTTAAATTAATAAAGTTATAGCCACTTAAAGTTCTTATTTGATTAGTTTAAATTTGTGGACCCCCCGTATAAAATGGTAAGTTTATTATAATTGGGATATAAAATATGATTTCTTGTTACACCAAACTACGAATTACGTTTACATAACTTAAATAATTCTAAAGTATTTGACACATGAAAATAAT